TTGCCCGCTCAGAGGCCCTTCGCCTGCGTCTCGCATCTGTAGGCACGATTAAGGATGAAACAGATGCCAACGAAGACATTGCTCGTGGCCTTTCCTCTTGGTTGTATGCCGTGCAAAAAGGAATACTGCTTGCCCATGATTTNGGGAAGTGGGGGGGCATCCGGGGGTCAAGACGGCGGTCAGGCAGCAGCTCGCGGCCAAAATCGTGACGAAGAGAAGAATGTTAGTGACGTGTTCAACGACGATCCCGTCGGATTTTGCCGCTACCACCAATCCGAGCTTCACACCAACGAGCAGTGTCGTCTCAAGCAACAACTGCGGCGCGCGCGTTCGAGAGAGGGCGCCGAGGAACGCCGCTCGGGCGGCGGCAGCCGCGGTGGCTGCCGATGGGTGAGGTATGAAGGGCAGCAGCACCACACCGGTCATGGTGGCGGTGGCTGGAGCCAAGAAATGGTGAGAAAACGACGATGTGTGTGAAGCTCACTGACGTGTCTGTTGTAGAGCCTGAGTTTCAACTTGTTCTCAACGCATGCTGTTTCTCTGAAGTAACCAATCCTCTACGACGAACGTGGTGCAACCCTACACAATGGACTGCTCTTTGCTAGAGAGGAAAAAGCGTCTGCAGCGTATGCCATGCGGTTGCCGTACGACCCATCTGCGACTATTGTAGACCCTGCTGCTTTGCCCACATTCGTGACTGCCCCCGACTCCGCCCCCGCCGTTGGCTCCGCGCGTTCCCCTTCCCAAAGGGGGGCTCCGCGAAATCATTGGTGTCCATGTTGCGTATTCCTCCCGCTGGCTCAGCTAGCGTAGCACCTTCCGCTGATAGCGTCCCGCCCACTGGTCCCACCAGTGTAGTACCTGCGAGTGAGAGCGTCCCGCCCGCCGGCTCTGCCGACGTAGTACCTTCCTCGGCGTCCAAGTTTGTGTGTGTGGGTACTTTTCCGGGTATTGATCTTGGAGATACGAGTGTGCTCACCGACGAGCAGCTCATGGATGGCTATGATGACACTTCGTATCAAGATTTTTTCCCCGTGTTTATCCCAGAGAGTGACGCGTATTGGATAGCATTGATGGGGGTGCTGATTTTGACTTGGGTGAGGCCGCGCTTGGCCCTGATGCGTCCCCGTTCACTCTTGGTTCGACTGGAAAGTCCGTTGACATCAACCGCTTCCACCGCTCCCTTGCCCACGCTTGCGAGCCTCTTTTGAGAGAAACTGCCAAGCAGAGAGGCATCGTGCTCACCGGCAAGCTGGAACCGTGCACGGACTGCATGAAGGCGCAGGGCAGGCGAAGGTCGGTGCCGCGGGGGCCGGGAGCGCGGGCGTCCAAGCCACTGGGGCGTGTTCACCTGGACCTGTGTGGACCGCTGGTGCCTTCCCTGGGCGGCAACCTCTACCTGTTCGTCGCCGTGGACAGCGCCTCGCGGAGGAACCAGGTCTACGGTCTCCGGCGGAAGTCCGACGCGCTGGCGGCAACAAAAAGGCTGCTGGCGGACGTGGGGCGGTACGACCTCGGGCGCATCGAGTGTTTCCGCGTCGACAACGGCACCGAGTGGACCCGCGGCGACTTCCGGCGCTTCTGCGACGACAACGGCATCGGCGTCGAGTTCACACCTCCCGGCGTCCCGCAGTACAACGGCGTCGTCGAGAGCGCCATCTGGCGCATCATGAAGGCCGGCATGGTCGCTCGCCGCAGCGCTGGCCGTGTGTTCAACGTCGACTTCGCCTCCATCCCCGGCCTGGACGAGCGGGGTGACCGTCATTGGATGGAATCGGCGAAATGGGCCGCCGACGCTCTCAACCAGTCGACGACCAAGGCCAACCCCGGGCGGCGCTCGCCGCACGAGTTGTTCACCGGCGAGCAGGGGCCTTTCCGCGTGCTGCCGTTCTTCCAGCCCGGCTTCATGCGTGAGGATCGCCGCACCAAGCTCGACGACCAGGCCACCCTCTGCTACTA